TAGTGGTCTAACCCCAACCCTACACCATACCTAAACTTAACCATAACCGAAGCGTCTCATTAGACGTTAAAGGGTGCCATGTGCGTTGGATATTTACGCTTTTGCAAAAAGCGTCCTATATGGCGCTTTGGGATGAGAATGCGTTGGAAATACAGGACTAAAAATGTACACACTGTGAACAATACAGACTATATCTGCTCAGTACTATAAGCTTTAATAATGCTGAGAACCTTTGTCAACAAAAGATAAAATAAACTTGGCTACTCAAAGGTCATTTCTGATTGATTTGCTTGCTTTTCAGAACATGCATTCTCATAAAGCTGTTCCAGGTTGTTGCCTGTGATATCAAGTAACATTGGCTTGGCAAATGTCACAGGAGTAGCCATGGGTAAAAATTAAAGGCTAAAAAAGAAGGAAAGTCATTTAGTTAATTGCATCTTGAGCAAGGTATGTCAAGTCACACAAAAAAGCACATTAGTTTTTGCCTGCTGAACTAATTCATCCACCGACCCATTTCCCAGGTATATGAAAAAGCACAATTAACTTTTTTTTTTTTTTTTTTACAGAACCGCTAAATGATAAAATGCACCCTGCATTTTACTTTTGCCTCGGAGCCAGAATAGGACAATGGAGAATCAATCCAAGCTGGCAGCTATTTAATTCACACACATTATTTCTTTCAGAATATTACAAATTTTCCATATTGTAGAGTTCGAGTTGCAGGACAAAATGTGAATGTGTAACGGTTTCCCAAAACTTCCGTATAGACGGAGTGCAGTTGAGACACTTTTTGCATTTTGAAAAATAGATACTGAAAAGAAGTGAATTTCCACATGACATGTGATTTATTAGCTTGTAGACTAAGATATTATCAATCAATAATAGCCATAGTTTATATTATCTTGACAAATAAGGTGCTTTTTGTTTGAACTGTACAGTTGAGAGAGTACATGGTACAGTTGAGACACCCATTTTTATTGATGTAAAGGTAACTAACCGTTTATTGCGAATATAATAAGTAAAGACAAAAAATAACAATTGGGCAACATGTTTCTTTAGTCATCCATTTAAAGTCATTCATTTTATTTAAGTTAGCACTGGTGTTAACTCCATCTACAGGGTACGAACAAATATCCTCTTATGGTTCAATGAGCAACGACATCTAAAAGCATTCTTTGAAAACATATGTAGGAAAACATGCTGAAAAACATTCAGTATGTTTGAATGTTTCAAAACATACTGTACACACACAATATGTGTGTAGGCTTTTTTTTTTTTCAGGTAAACATTAATAAAATTAACAACAGATGACTATCTAACTCGCTGGACAAACCTCTAGGCTAGGTCGAGTTGCAATAGTTAAAATGTGTAGTTAATAGTCAATAGTTAAATGGTTTGCATCATTGAATTAAACTAAGCATATTTTACTGGTAAAAAAATACTAAAAAAGAAGAATACTAAAATAAGTTTACAAACAATGTAAATAAACAAAGCTCAAGCTACAATTTTTTAATTAGCATCTAATCTACAATATCTTTGCAAATGGATAAAATATGACAATCTCTGAAACCCATGGCTAGAGTTAGAACAGGCAGAATGTAAATCATATCTGATCTTCCATAACAAAAAAAAACTAAAACAAGCAAACAAAAAACAATCTAACAGCAAAATCTTTTTAAGAACATGAACACACCACATATCAACTTACCTACCCTATATGGAATTATTCTAATGTTACAATCAAATTAATGTTTGTTAATGTTTAATGCTTAATGTTTTCACAAACAAATTGTGATTCACCAAAAAACTTTTGTAGTACCCTACTAAAATTTGTCTAGGAACAACTGAAACAACAAAACACACTTTCTCAGTGGGGCCTTACAATCGGGTTAAGAAGTTATATTTTTCATCTTAACATGACCCTTAATATATTCGATATACAATTATATAATAAAATGAATAAATAATCCAATTTAATTTCTTCTTAAATATATTTCAATATGTATACGTAAGAAAAAGCGCCCTTTAGCGTCACTGTGAGATTTCCTCCGTCAATAACTGACGCTAAATGAAAGCTCAGTTAGAGGACGCGGTAAAACTTTGGAACTGGTTTGGGGAAGGGTACACGCGATTGGGCGTCATCTTACTGACGCTAAAGGGCGCCTAAAGCGTAGATATTGAAGCATGTTCAAATGCAAAAGCCTCTAAATGACGCCTTGGGGTTTTCTTCTGAAAATGAATAAATAATCCAATTTAATTTCTTCTTAAATATACTTCATCATCATGTATACAGTAAGAAAAAGCTGCGGTATAGCTTCAGCTGTGAGATTTCTCTGAATAACACAGATATACATGAACAGCTGGCTTGGAGAGGTCTGTAAAACTGTTGGAACTGGTTTTGAGAATGACTTGGCATTGTTCGAGGATCTGATGCGAGCTATAAAAATCTTGCATATTAATATGTTGAATGACAAAATAATACATAAATTATGCTGGAGTATTCAATATAACATTCTACAATTATTATAGTCTGATGTAATTTTATACTGTTCAATATATTGCACTTTGTTTCAGTTTGCATATTCATATTACAGAACAGTTTTTCCATTTGCACAACAACATGTTCACCAGTTTTTTCACAATTTCACCAGTTTTTGCTTTTATAAATCCAGAATTGTTTGTCACTTTTGCTGTAGGGTTAAAGTCCACTGAATTTGAGGTTAATTGAAATACGTGCATATTTTAATTTTATAAATGTTGTTGGGTAGATCTAGATTGCTTTTGCAGAACACTGACGACCAAACAAAGACACATTCAGGTGACTGTTGTTCACATTCTTTATTACCAAAAATACACTGGCAAAAATGATAACATTACAGTTTCAAAAGAACAAATAAATAATTGTGAACGGAACACTAATATCAAAACAGGGCCCTTTGGACCTCTGTGCTTGAAAAGGAAAATCGCACTGAGAGGCCTTCAGACTGTAAAATTCAGAAGTGTTTTCTTTTTTTTTTTTTTTTCTCCTCTCTCCTTTGGCATGGAAGCATGTAAAACAATGTGCTTGTTTGGAGTTTCGAATGCCAACCGTTCCCTTACACACAGTAAAGACCCTTTTTGATGCACTTTGGCGAGTCAAAGGTCATTTTTGATTCAATTGCTCTCCTTTTGATTCTTCTTCTTTCTGTAGTGTTTATACAAGTTTTAAAAAATAGAATTCCTCTAAAAAAATGTCAGTTTTCTACAGTATATATATACAGCAAGTCACATACAAAACCATTTTACAGTACCATGTGACCAAATACTTTTACACAATATTGTGGGCACATTATACACAATCTAAGATGCCAAAGCACTCGATATACTTGGCTTAAGATGTATGGTATAATTCTTGACTGAAGCTCCATTAAAGATGAGGCTGTTGAAATGGAAGGCACACGTGTGGCTGAGAGGCTGTTCTCATGATGATTACCAAATCTCACAACAATTATCTCAAGAAGCCCTGCTAATTCAGATGCAGATTACTTGAAATGTATTGTGTATCTTTAGGAGAAAATAAAATACATTCCAGATGTATTGCAATTGTTCTAGAAAGAAATGTAAAAAACAACAGCTAAGATCCCAAATTAAGCTGATTGCTGGAATACAATGTGTACAGGGTGTGGGCCAATTCCTGCTCACAGACAGAGAAAAGAAAAGGAATAATCCCTAATAATGGTATGGTTCTTGATCAATTTGGACTACGTCAACAGAGAGATACAGCAAATGAAATACAGCTGGAAAAACAACATGAACTTTCTAGGAAGCCCAATCTCTATTTGATGGCATTACTTAGAAAGCAAGTTTGAATTATGTGCGTGAACAACAATACACATCCTCTGAAAGAAAAACTCAACAGATGTTTAAGAGACAAAACAACTGAATTAAAGTGAGGAAGCAATTTCAATACTGGTAAATGTGTCCTATTCATTTTCATTATGATGCATATGGTAACATGATTTATATGCAGACCATGTTATTACTTCCGAGACACAGTTTGCAGTTTGAATTGTAAATGAGTACATTAAGTTCAGAATATAATCATGTATGTAAATTCCTATGATTTAATCCCTAAGAGTTAATTTTTCTGATACACTGGGCAGTGCGAAGCCTGCATGAATTATGGATGCCCTTTTAATCATGCTAATTTTGCATTTTAGACTGTTGACATACAAACATTAAGTGTATGCAAATCATTCCTTGGAAAATATGACGCATATAAAGTCAGACTGAAGGACCTTAAGTTCAAAGCCAAGGTCAAAAGTCTAGGGGACAAAAGGTAGTAAATTTGAGGTAGTGATAAAGCAAAATCTCAACTACTAGGGGTTGCACAGTACACCGGTGCTATGGTAGTATCACAACGCCCGAGCCTCAAAATACTGGTGGCATTCCAGTATTTTCCAAACGTTAGTCCTGTGATGCACTGGAGCGGCAGCCGTGGCTCATTTTCAGCTTTGAATTGGCATGTTTATTTATGTGCTTAAAGGGATACTCCACCCAAAAACGAATCATATACTCACCCTCAAGTTGGTGAAAACCTGTATGAGTTTTTTTCTTCTGCTGAACACAAAGGAAGATATTTTGAAGAACGATTGAAACCAAACAGTTGTGGGGCACCATTGACTTCCATAGTATTTTTTTTTTCCCAAATGGTGCCCCACAACTGTTTGGTTTCAATCGTTCTTCAAAATATCTTCCTTTGTGTTCAGCAGAAGAAAGTAGTAAAGGAGTATCCCTTTAAGGTGCAGATCACACATGACTCAAGACGAAGCGCAATAGAATGAAACAACACAGGAATTAAAAGATGAGTTACTTGTAATATGACACCGTTTTATAAAGCAAAAACACATTTAACGTCCTTCTGAAATGGTGGAATAAAATAATGTCAAATTCGCACGAGTATCTCTCGTGATGAGTTTGGTAGACTTCAGGCAAAACTGGCCCTGATACATTTTTTTTCAACTTTTTTCCCCTAGTATGTGACTTGGATATGTTTTGTTTTTTTTCTTTTCTTTTTTCATATAACTTTTACAATTCTATGCTCATGGGAGTCACTCAAATATTTTACAAACTGGTAGAGCTTTGGTGACTGAATGAATATTGAAGACGACAGCGAAGTTAATCAGTGGAGGGACGGTTATCGGTTATCCTCTAAAGAATTACGCTGACAGCACTATACAATCAAAACTTGAGGAAAAAACTTTTCTCCTCATCCTCGTCACATCTCCTTATAAATGAACACGTAAATGCTGCGGGTGCGTCTCAGTCAGCTCCCTGGTTCAGTAGTCAGGGCACCGTTCAGGGAGTCGGCTATTAGCAAAATCCTACCAGTGCACTGAAACAGTCAATCCCTAAATGTTCCACAATGCACCATGAAAACCAGGGAGCATCAATGCTCATTGTGTTCCCTTAACAAAAGTTCTGAAGCACAAAACATAAAATCACACAAACCAACCTACTACACGGACACACAATAGATGTTTTTTTTAGTAAACTACAGACAATTATCTAATAATATTTCAGCATAAACACATCGCTAGACAGGTAACGAACAATCTAGCTAATATTTATAATTTATTTATGGCTGAAATGTTGCACATGTAATAGGAAAGTTGTCATTGTCATGTTGCTGGAAATCGAATCAGTGTTCCGATGTGTAGGGAGTCAGGTTCCTTACCAGTGCCCAAATTCATGTGCGCGATATTCATGACCTAGGAACGGGGGAGCTGATTGAGACGCACACGCTGACTTCATGAACCTCAGTGTTAACACCATGCTGTATCTGTTATTGTTATTTTGTGCATGCGGGTCAGTTCAAGACCTTAACCAGTTCATACTCGAATCTGCCACAGTGTGAACATAGCGTTTTCGGGTTTGTTTGAAATGCTCATATTAATTACTGATGATATAACTTTCAAAATTTAAGCTTTGGCTTTATATAATCTCTCTTGAGTTTCCATTTGTGTGACTGTGAACTAAACAATACAACAGAACAGCCCCTGCAATAACAATCCACTCAATAATAGAGTACTACTTGGTATCGTGTTACTATAGCTGGTTTTGTGACAACCCAATAACCTAGTAAGTTTTTTCTGGATCTCATTTTAAACCCATGACCAAGTTATGAATTGTAGTTTTTTTTTGTTCGTTTGTTTGCAGAGGAACAAAGACATTCTATAACTACAATAACCTAATCATTAAAAAATGTAAAGGATTTAAGAGCGAGACACATCTTCAAGTTTCGTCATTTTAACTTTGCTATAGCATGATAATTATTTAAATGCGTGTATTTCAATAATAACAATAATGATAATTACACATTGATCTATCAGTAGCTTTTTCTGCTGCACGTTTCCAATAGCTAATTATGGGGCCATTTTTATACTTGTGCTGTTTCAATGAAAACATTAAAATTCATTATATAACGCTTATATACAAATTTAAGATACATTCCCAATGATGACTTATTTCGCTCATTTCTGAGCGCAAGACCAATAGCACCAAAAAAGAGACCATAACTAGAAACAAATTTTCTAATTTGTATGAACATAACGGAGGGGAACATGCACATAAAATAAATTAGTTTGATAAATATCAATGCAAATGACACCGAGACAGCAAGAAAGAAACCAGTGTCTCTAAACTCTAAAGGTAAAGGTAAACGCACATAAGAAATATAGATATAAATAATATTACAGTGAACAAGAGAAGCTGCCTCATTTTCATAACGTGTGGACTCTACGATGTGTCTTCTGAACAGATGAGGTATACAATGACTTTGAAATTCGTCATTTGCATAATTCACAACAAAAGTTACTCTTTCCGCTGCTGAACTAGTAAAATTACATTTCATTTGTTACCTTTTTGACTGCACTTCGCTGAAATCACTGAAATCACATTATTAACAGTAACGGAAACTAACTGTGACATCAATACAAAGGTAAATCGATAGGGAAAAAATAGAAAGTTTTGAAAGTGTGCATGTTGCTTGTCCAAGCAGAAATGATACAAGAGCGGTGTGTATGAATATGTGTGTGGGTCACTGGCTGCTGCTGGTCTCTGTGGGCTGATTTCCCTGCTGCTCCTTGCTCAGTATGATGCTGATCAGATCTCCCTCATGCTGCTTCATGTGCTCCATCAGCTGCTCTTTACTGGTGGACTCAAAGCCACAGATACAGCAGCAAAAGAGCAGCACACAGTATTCCATACCTGCCCGCGTCTGCCCCGAACCGCTCCGCCACGCCACAGCCCCGCCGGCCTGCTCCCTTGTGGACGAGGGCTTCACGGGGTTGCCTTCTTGTCCACCTGAAGCAGAAGTCACCTCAGGTGACTGTTTGTCTTTTCTGGTCAAGACAATATACGGACGCTCCATTCCCGTCTCATGTGTTGACTTCAGAGGCGTCGTAGGAGATCTTAATCCCAGGAGAAAACAGAGAAAATAAAACTACTTTAGTAAGCCCATTGAGTTTCAATCATTTGATTAATTCTGCCACTCTGTGTATGAGAATTTTAAGACAGAGAGGTTTTAAAACAGAGCTCTCTGACTTAAACTTTAGACGAAATAACAGCTTCAACAGAATTCAGTTCTGTGAATTATTTCAAACTGCCCATTTCAAGAAAGTGATTCAAAACTAAGATTTAAAGATTACATTTTTTTTATGCCAGTGCTAGAAAAAAGATTTAGAGGTTGCACTGTTGCAACTACAAAGTTGCCCAAAGGGTTAGTTCACCCAAAAATGTAAATTCTGTCATTAATTACTCACTTTCATTTCATTCCAAAGTAGACTTTCGTTCATCTTTGTAACACAAATGAAGGTCTTGTTGATGAAATCTGAGAGCTTTCGGCCCCTCCATAGACAGCTACACAACTGAAACTTTGACGCTTCAAAAAAGCTCGTAAAGAGACTGTAAAATTAATCCATATAAAGAGTGGTTTAGTCAATAGTTTTCTGAAGAGACTCGATCGCTTTATAAGAGATAGAATTTAAGCTTTTATTGCCATTTAAATATTGATCAGCAAACATAAACAGCTCAACAGAACCTGCTTGACGCACAAGAACAAATCTCATTGGTTCTCGCACCAAATTCATCACCTTTTTTCATCATTTGTGTTCCGAAGATGAATGAAAGTCTTTGGTTTTGGAAAATAATTAATGATAATGAACTAACTATTTAAATTATGAGCTACCAATTCACATGGACCATTTCTCAGCTCACCACAATATACAGAGCAGCCCAATGGATCAATCTTGATCACGCGACCATATTATACAGCGAAAACAGGAGAAACATTGTGCCGTGAATAATTCAGCAAGAGTGCTTTTTGATTTACTGTAGTAACACTGACTGTAACCATTGTATTTTGAGAGAAATATTGTAATGCATAATGAATGTTATTTTATTAATATAGTCATATAATGTCAGAAATAATTTTTAAAAAAGTGTTTTACCGACAGTGTATAAATTAACCTGGTTAAATATAAATTGTCTTGTGTTTATTTACAACAACAAAAAAAGTAGGAAAACATACATCCCCTTAAAATTTCAGTGCAAAATATCAAATATTGTCAAAATCTTGGAAAATATTGAGAAAGTGTTTTTTTTTTAAGCTACATCAAGCCTTAGGGGGCAAGTTAAAAAAATACAATAAAATCCCACACATATATATATATATATATATATACCTATATAACCTAGAGTAAAACCAAAACAAAAAAAGCAATCACATAAATCAATCTACATTATAAAGGTCCTTCCTACCGACTACTCTGAGAAATGGCTTCATTAATGGCCTTGTTGACTTGCTCATAGTTGTAATTCTGATCTCCAGCATGTTTCCACATGTGTGATTTGAGAGATGGTGGGTGGCTGCACACGTAACCACACAGCGAGCACCTGTAACGCAGAATAACGATTATCATTATCATTATAAGTTCTGTGCACCAGCTCCTCCAAAGTGTTTGATTCTCACCTGTACTGCTCCAGCAGCTGCATGGCTTGGTGTTCCTGTGGATGTCTTTTCATGTGGCTCTTCAGGCTATTCATATTAGTTGTGGCGAAATCACAGCTGCAGCACCTAGAGGGGTCATGCGGCACAGGATAAACAGTTAGAGCATCACAACACTGCGGTTTCAATAAAGACCTTCTGGAGCGCCTGTCAAGTGGGGTCAGCCATTGTCTGTTTGCACAGTAATTTTCTTTTTTTCTAATCGGCTGTGTGTTTGAACATTTGAAGGCCTGCGTTTGAAGACCATTGAAAGTGCGTTTATAGAGACTGCTTGCGGCAAATACAATACATTGCAGGCCTTGAATGGATCCTGTGGCTTGTTAAAAGGACCCTTTCTCTCAGAAGTTCTTTTTGAAATGATCATGGGTGAACAGAACTGAAGCAAGACATGTCAGAACACACATAGAGACCATAAAAGGGACCTTGAGGTGTTTATGTGAGCTTGCATGTGATCGGGTTTGTGTATGTGCGCTTGCATTGAAGCTAAAAAGATCTTGAACATTTTCAGCATAAGGCCTTTAACACAATGAGTGAAGACAACAAAGACTTATATTGAGCACCACTGCACCCTTGTGGTGATAACAGGTAATGCCTTCATTTCCAGCCAAATTTATTTAAACTACAAAACATCTCATTCTTTCTGATTTGTTCTCTTCGTGTAATGTACAATTTACAACAAAATACAATAAAAAAAAAAACATTTCTAAACATGTATCCTTATATTCAAAAAAAAAAAAAAAAAAAACAAACCTGTATGGTTTATCAGAGTTGTGGATTCGCCGATGGTTACGCACCCCAACATACGTGGAGCTGGTGTAGTCACACACATCGCATTTGAAAATGCTCTGCTCGCCAACTGAATCAGCACAATAAAGAGAAATACACAACAAAATTTATGTCTCTAAGTTTCAAGTTAAATAACCACCAGAACCATGATGATGGAAAAGGGGTAAATGATAATCACATTATTTGTAAAGTAATGTATATGTGCATGAAATGAAAATTCAACCTATTTTGTACGCATGTTATATGTTACAAATATTACAATGTAGGTTTAATAAAAAATAAAAAAAACACATATATATACACATTTTCCGGAATTCTCCAATCATTTAGACCATTTTAGACCCGCCCATCCACAATTGACTGCAAGTTTGCAATTATTTTTGATTGCAACATCCACGTCTCAAAATCCATTCAATAACCAATTGATAGAAGAAAGGCCCCCACCCTATTATTTAAAAATGTTATATGCAAAGTAAAAAAAAAAATATTTTGTTGTGCTTTTGTGCAGTTTTTTTTCCTGGTTGTGTGGTGCTGAAGGTATATTTCATGCTCACACTCATCTGCCATCTTGGCTGTCTCTTCAACGATTACTGTGCTTTCAGCAACGTGGGTCAGTGTGTTGCTGATGTCGTCTATCCCATGCCCATCTCGCTCGTGGTTCCTCAGCTGACTCTGAATGAGGCATTAATAAAACCATCATCAGTGCTTCATAAGGAGGATGTTTATTAATAATGCATCAGTGGAAGGGAGAGCAGTGCACTCCAATGTTAGAAACTCATTACGCCAATCTACAAAAATAAAATGATTATTTGCTCCCCATTCAGAACAATTGACACCTGCTTAAATATGCATTGCCTACCAGGAAATGCAAAGATAATTCAATACAAGCTGAAAACAAGAAATCTATTTAAAGATATCAATTCAAAATAGAAACAAATAAACAGTAAATGGGTATTTATATTTGATCTACTGCTATAATCAAGGACTTTTGTAAAATAATTCCACTTCGAAAGCATAGTTATTCAAGCATTCAGTCCTGTATCATTAAAAACACATTTAGTTAAAGAATGTTTAATGTCCCATCATGTTGTTCCAAACCTGTATGACTTCTTTCTTCTGTGCAACATCCTCAAAAAATTCAAATGGGAAATCTGGAAAGATTTGAAACAATCTTCAAATCCTCTTTTGTGTTGCACAGAACAAAGAATGACACAGACAAACAGATTACAGAATCATTTGAATCAAATATACTAATAATGACAAAATGCCAATACTGTTCTTCGCTTCAACAGGTATATATATGAAGAGTTCAGATGCAAAAGCCTCTAAGTGCCATTTGAAATTTTCTTCTAGAATGATCATTTTTATCAAGCTTGTATATTTAAGTTCAATAATTTCACTTAAATGACAATTAATAGGTCATCTTCATTGCCATTTAAGTGAAATCACTGAACTTAAATATACAAGCTTGATAAAAATGATCATTCTAGAAGAAAATTTCAAATGGCACTTAGAGGCTTTTGCATCTGAACTCTTCATATATTTATATATATATATATATATAATTTCCACTAGACAGGTTTGTTTTGTTTCTCTCCTCACCTTGTAGAAGAACCTCTCTGTGCACTGCTTGCAGCTGTACATGCGGGGCTTGAAATGGTGGATCATGTGACGCTCCAGGTCCTTGCTGTCACAGGCTATATGCTCACAAATGGGGCACTGGTAGGGCTCTCTCTGTCTATGCACACGTAGGTGCTGCTTGATGTAGCCCTTGTTTCCGCTGCTGTACAGGCACAGTCTACAGCGGTAGGGCCTCTCACTCCCAGCTATATATTCCACCAGACCGTCTGTAGAGGAAACTTCGGCGGGCACAGCAACACCCCCAGCAACTCCACCAGAATGTTGGCTTTGGGCGTTGTCCTGCAACTCCTTCAGAATGTCCTCATCTGAAGTGTTTTGGTCAGAACGCTCTTGCAGCCGCTCGATGACTGTCAAAAGGGACATACTGATGCCGGCTTTGGAGGGTCCCTCGACCAGCACATCTCGAGAATCTTTTGAACTCTGGAGGCCAAGGTTATGTAGAGCAGCTGGCTCTCCAATGGCACAGGTGAGCTCTCCTGAGGACAGCTTAGGGTTGGCAGTGTCTGCAATCTCTATAATTTTCTGGCCTGTGTCAGGGCTTTGCGTACACAGGTCATGAATACCTTTTGCAGTGGTTTTGCTAAGCTCCGGGGCCCTCATGGGCATGGCCACCAGTACCTCGGCTGCTAAAGAATGCAGCCGAAGAGACTCAGAGTAAGTCCTTCTCCGAACCGGTGGCACGTTTTCATCTGAGGGAGATCCTGAAGACACGGTCTCCCCCTCCTGTTGTCGATCTTCTTCGTTCCAGGCGATCACAACCTCCTCCTTTTGTTTGTAGTACATGGGGTGGTGTTGGCTCTCTAACTCTGGCTCCTCAGAGGCCAGAAGGGTTTTGTCTCCTCCTACTTCTGGGCTGAGGAGCAGAGGTTTGCTCGACACCGGTTCCTCAGCACAGGGGAGGCGTTCCACAATGACGTTGACGTGGCCGGCACTGTTGCCGCTGCAGCTGATAATCTTCTGCGCAGAGGACAGGAGGCTGTCAGAGCTTGCCTGTGGACTCTCAGTGCTAGCCTGTCGACTCTCAGTCTCCAACTCCAGCTCCATTTGTGCCTCTGGTGTCACCTGAACCTCCATCAAGGGCTCCTCGGGGTCTTTTATAGAAAAAATGTGGCTAATCACTGGCATTTTGCTCTCCACTGTTTTCAAAGCTGCCGTCTCCCCATGACACTTCACTTCTGGTGAGGCACACAGCTCTAGCTGGAGGCTAGAGGAGCCGTGCATCGTTTGAGGTTTTCCTCCAACTGCTCCAAGGACTACAATGGTCTCCTCTTTACCTGCTGGAACTGCAGGAGGACAGGAACTTTGTAAAGCATCAGGACAGTCTGTCTCGTCTTCAAATATCGGGTATGAGCAGTCAACCAGGCCAGCGTGTTTCCATGCATGGGTCTTCAAATTGCGCTGCTGTCTGCATTCATAGTTGCAGATGAGACAACGGTACCTACCCTGCTCAAAGCTGTACCACTTCTTCGGCGTAGACGTCTTGTCTGATTCTAAGTTGCTTGCCTTCAAAACCGTCATCCCTTGGTGAACCCTCCTAGCCGATGCTTGCTCGTCTAGGATGCGTCTAGCATGGTCGCCCTCCTCCAGGTGGAGTCTTACGTGTGCTACCAGCTCCTCTTGATGATTTGAAGTGAACTGGCATTCTGAGCACATGAGGATGAGCTCACTGTGCTGCTCGTCATGCTGCAGCAGGTGCTCTTTCAACAGCTCCAATGAAGGCGAGATAAATCGGCACATACTGCACTGGTAACACGTAACTGTCCGAGTGCCTTGACTTGAAGGCTCCTGTGCGAACACATGCCCAGGCATGCTGCTGGGGGCTGGGCACTGTTCCCTTTGCTCTCTGGGTCTCTTACAAGGTGTGGCCCCTTCAGTGCAGTCCCTGCTGTCTGGAACAGGCATAGATGCACAGGTCATCAAGGGTCTCTTTTTCCCAGAGACGGTGCATCTTCTGGGCCTCTTCTCCACAATCTTGCTGAGCTTCTCAATGACCTGAATAAGAGAGTCAGCAGCTTGCTTTTGCTGCTGCCGTTGCTGGTCCTCGCCACCATGAAGACATCTGTCGGGAATGAAGACTGTATCCTGCTGGCCTCTAGGGTGAGGCACTAAGACAGCAACACCACTGCTGTCCTCCATTCCTAAAACATGTAAAAAAAATAAAATAAAAAAAAAAGTGAATTACCTGGCACAACTAGCAGCAACTTCCAGCTTTCTTAAAGTTCAGAAATGCTGAGTTAGAGAATGGTTTTATGCAGTACTTGACAGTAACTGTACTTATTTAATGTTTTAGAAACTTTTACTTCATTGCATTACAAAGCATAATATCATAGTTTTTACTCCACAACATTTTTCCCAAATAACATGTCGTTCCTTGTTATTTTGCCGTGTCCAATTCGCTAACAAGCTGATTCTTTTCAATTAGCCTGTTAAATCAGTTCGCAAATCATACTGAACGATTATTTATGACAAAAACTCAATGATTCAAATAATCCAGTCAGAGCAAATTCACTTAAAGTGCCTGCAAAGTATATATATATATATATATATATAAATACTATGTTATTCCCTTAACTAAGATGAGTTTATACATGCCTCTCTCATCTCAGTGAGTGCACTCAATCGCTCTGGCGTGCGAGACACTTAGATAGCACTTAACTTAGCCCAGTTCATTCATTACGATCCAAGCAGAGAAGCGACCAAACACCTCCACATTTTCCCTTTTTAAATACAGTTACACCAGTAGTGTAATTTGACCAAGTATTGTGACAAAATAAAATGTTGCGCTTTTCTAAGCGTATAAAGTGGATAACTACGATTATAATGTATGGCAGAATACCATAGCAAGTGCTTAGGAGCACTTCGACTCGGCACAGTAATATCAACACTCCGGAGAGGGAGAGGGGGGAGAGGATTTTTCATGAGTGATGATATTACTGCGCCGAAGTCACAGAGAAAATTTGGAGGTGTTTGGTCGCTTCTCTGCTTGGATCCTAAAGAATGAGCTGTGCTAGTTAAGTGCTATCAAAGTGTCTCGAGCGCCAGAGCGATTGAGTGCACGCACTGAGACGAGAGAGAAATGTATCAACTCGTCTTAGTTAAGGAATAACAGTTTAATATGAAAAAATGGTGGAATATCCCTTTGAGTATGTCTTCTGAGTTTGTCATACCACAGAAAAAATGTATTATTAGCCACCCAGCTAAATTTGAATGATAAAAAAGCCGCCAAGTAAATAGAATACGCTATCAAAATCTTGAAAAAATGAGCAGTTTTGTCTGCTCTCAAACGTTGGGGGTATCTTCGCTAGCTGCGCTGAAACCATGTATGAAATGCTTGAATGTGGACTCACATTTGTTTATTAGTCTCTAAAAAGGGCGGGCTTATAATATAACTTCAATGTCGTAACAGTTTCAAATGATATAAAACCAGTATGTTTGCAAAACATTAACACATTATGCCTTATGCGGCATCTTTTTTTTATATTGATAGACATTAACACATTTAGTTTTTCTTTATATTTATATGCTATATGGCATATTGTATTTGTTTGCTTTGCACACTTTAATTATCAGCAATTATCCGTAAACGTCCTTATTGACTAGTGCTGGCTACTTGACAATTCATAATTTATAATGATGTAAGACTGAGCCTATTTAAGTATGTCTACATTATAACCAGTATGGAGGAGTATAGAACTACAAAATTAATAAACATTCATTATTAAGTTTTTTTTTTTACTTTGACTTAATAAAAAAATTAAATAAAATAAAAAAGCATTGTTAAATAATAATGTACTTTACTTTTCATACTTTTTAATCCACTAATTTTATAAAAAACATTTAGTTACACTTTATTTAGCCATGTCCAAATCACAAACAAGCTGATTCTTTTCCATTAACCTGTTAAATCAGTTTGTAAATCGCACGCACTGAAGGATTAATTTGTGACAACAACTTACTGATTCAAATTATCCAGTCAAGCTGTTTCTGAAGTAAAATTTAAAGGGACAAAATGTACTTTATTTAATATATTTTATTATTTAAAATCAATATTTATATTCATAAATAAGTCCTCAATGGTGTACAATTAAATTAAATTTAATTAAATTACAATTAAACATTTTGCAAGGATTAAACAAAAAAAAATCTGCTAATGCTGCAAACTATATAGGGAGCCGCACATAACGTTAAAGGCCTATTTATTTTTTTCTGTAATTGAGGAAGAGATGATCGCGTTTACTCACGCGCTGCGCTGCAACTTGGAAGGAGGAGCTACAGCGATCTGTCACACCACATCAAAAAGCGCCAAAACGGCTTGATTGAATTTCATGATCAAATAGGCCTAGTCAGAATTTGAAAGATTACACTTTGCATATTATTATTGGTGTTAATGGTGGTTAGGCTACAAAACTGAATTTGTTGTGTAGTGTGTAAACATAAGACAGGAGGTCCAAGGAGTCGGGATGGGCGGGGCCGGGGTAGCAGGGGGTGGGGCGTGTTCGGTGCCCCATGAGAGTATTGCGATTCGAATCGTGGGTTCGTGGGTATCGCGGTTTTTCGGTTCAGTTCGAATTTCGTTACACTCCTATTTTATAGACAGATGAACATTTGTAGATAATGTTGATATATAACAATGCACATACTTCAGAAAATATAACGAATAAAGAAGGCATAACTACTTATTACAAGAGTTCATGTTTTTCACAGTCAGTAATTCATACTGTACCACTCGTTTGTTCGTTGTGTCAAGTTGCTGTTTGTTCGAAATAACAAACCTGTTTACCCGAAAAAAACACTCAACGAAGTGCTATTAGAAGACATCCTGTCATAGATTTTTGTTTCATAATGGCTACCATAGATGCAACACGCAGTTGAAAAAGTGAGGCGCTGGAGAGCACAATTCGTTTGAATGCAAAGTACATTTTCACTGCTAGATGGGACAAATTCCTACATAAAGGTATTATTTATTTTAATGGAGTAATATTTTATTACGGTATATGTACTTTTACCTCCAGTATTTGATTTGTGTACTTTTTCCACCACTGGTTTTAAGATGATTAGCTTTCTGAGTGTACAGTGGAAATGGCCCTCCATACATATGTACAAGAATAGTCATTACTCCACTTCACATATCTATAAATATCACCTACTAGTTACTGCATAGTAAATCAGCCATTTCTTTTTTTTCCATGTCAGATTAATATGATTTAGACTACATGATTTCTTCACCAAAGAGTCTCCCTGTCAATCTCAGCAGTCAATATTTCTGAATAATGAAAGTTGCCCAGGGATACACATTTTAGGCCCCGTCCACACTACTGCGTTTTCGTTTAAAAACGGAGACCTTTTGCTACGTTTGCACCTCCCGTCCACACTAAAACGGGAAAAACAAAAACCTAAAACGGAGAAGTTTAGAAACGCTGCAGCTGCGTTTTGCGTTTTGAATCTCCGGAGGGCGTTTTAGTGTGGACGAGACAAAACGGAGAACTTCAGAAACGATGACGCAGAGGCTGACGCTTGGCTCTATGATTGGCTGTTATCCGTCATGACGTGTCCTTCCCTGATTCGTCATTCACTGTTTACACCGGCACGCGCATGCCTAGTGTTGGTGAATGGTCACGTGATCCGCAGTTTCAGTCGTTTTAATGTGGACGGAGATCGTTTCTAATACGCAGATAAAACGCTGGTGTGGACGGAGATCATATTCGTTTTAATTCTCCGTTTTTAAACGAAAACGCAGTAGTGTGGACGGGGCCTTAGACTAAGTAACTGCTCATCCGTGAAACCCATTTCCTTTATAGCTAATACTTTTGTTCAGTTTCACTGCAGAGGGGTGGTGTTAGCTAATATAATATGTGATATATTTCTGTTATAATTTCAAATTAAAACTTTATTTTGACAGGTTTTTTGTAAAGTTTCTCTGTGTGTGGTGGAGATAGTTTGGACGAAAGCGTGTAGTAGACGAAAAGTGTGTTGCTCATTCACACAGAGACACAGAGAACATGCAGACATCAGATTCAATAGCAGTCTTTTTGAGCTTTAATATTCAGTCACCAACCCATATTGTAATTTGATTCAATGTACAGCAACTTTTGATTTATCCAAACAACAGTTCTGTGACATTCCACTTTATACCGTAACGTTCCGTGATTCAGTCCACATTTTAGAAATCATAGGGCTATGGTATTTGCCACATTAAAAAGTTAGTTTTATAAAATATTAACCATCAGTAAAAGGGCTATACAGTTAATAGAGGTCCCCTCTCAATAGACTCATAGCGTTCTGTAGCCATTAATATGAAGCAATTGTTTACAGCTATGCACCAATATGACATTATTTAAATAATCATATTGTTTCCAATTAAGACAGAACGTACAGCATTGGGGATATTTTTATAATAACTGAGTGACTTTTTCACTTTCCTCAACTTCTAAGACAATTACTCATAGCATAGCACTTCTGCATTTTTACAAACAGTTAAAGGGAAGTTATGGACAATTACACGGAATCAAAACAAAGACACGTGGAGTATGAACATGTAGACACATGTAATTATTCTAACGTTACAGTAATTGAAAACAAAGAAAACCCTGGTGTGCTTTTTCCTCTTCCAAATGAACCGTTTTTTTTCTCTCTTTCCTGTACAATAAAAATCGACGGGGTCCAAAACAACATTGGACCCACATTACTTTAACATATTTTTCACATTTTCATCTGTGCGTTAAACTTTAGAAAACAAGTGATACAGGAACAACACGAGGTAAGGTACGTTAAGATCAATTGAATTAGGCCTATATGTTGTAAAAGTGAAATATTCAGATTTTACCATATTATGGGTTTGTTACAAAGTAACATCAAGTAACAATCAAAGGCCAAACCCGACAAGAAGAAAAAACGGAATGGTGAGGGGGTAAAAATAAACACATGTGTCTCTGTGCGACAGTATAAGATTTGACGCGTTGACGGATGTTTAGAGACAGACCAAGTGACTGATTCTCAACACGTGTAAATCACTCTCAGTCAGTCTGTCGTGGTGAGATAGTTGAGCTTAAGTTTAGCAGAAAGTGTGTGTGTATTTGAGAACATGGTGTCCATGATAACCGTGGAGACGCAACGTGAGAAAGGGGCAGGACGTTTCTGACAACAGCAGCACACACATGCACATTCTACACTTCAACATGAGCTGTAAAAAACAACTGTGCCGTTTAATAAACAGCTCAGAGTCATGCGACTGTCACAACCATCTAAACGCTACTTACTGATGCAGCAGTTGTGTCTGATCTTTGGCCTCGGTGCCCGTGATGCGCTGTTTTTATTCCAGGGGTGTAAAAGTGCTTCACTCTGGACTCAAAATGGCGAGAATGGAGCACCGATCACGTGACTCACACTGGGTCATGTGACCGTGGAAAGTGACATCAGCCAGAAACACCTGCCACCGCGTGAAGACCACATTGAGAGAGGAGGAGTGCTATTCTTTTTGTAATCATTTACTTTTTTTCTTTATGTTCTGTATTTTTGTGCTGAAGTACTAATTTAAGAATTTTGAGCATTGATCTCTATTTATTCTACCGGAACGACACGAGATTTTTGATCTATTTCTTTTATAATTAAATTATCTGCAGCTTTTGTAGCCTAGATTTTTAAGTGAAAAGTAAAGACCCTTAAAGTTAGATGCTTCCCTAATTGGAGATGATGTTGATGCTTGTGCTTTTATTTTAATTAAAGATTTTATTTAAGATGAATTAGATGTACATTTTAAATATCCTCATTAGCATAATTATTTAATGTGTATGTATGGAGACTGTTGTTTATTATGTCATCTCTTCAATTAAAAAAACACAGGCCTAAATACATATGATTTAAATATAGGCCTACAATTTTGACTGAAATGTTATTTGTTAATATATTATGCACTTTTAAAATTTCCTCTTATTAACTGCTGTCTATTATTAACATCAACCTTCTTTTTGGACCATCTTTTAGTTAATAAATACTCTGTAAACACTGCAGATGTCATGTGGCATCTCAAGCTTCAGAGCATCAGAAGCTGGGTCCTCAACCACTAGGTGAGAGAGTGAGGTTACGTTCCTCATTACTGAAGCTAACTGAAAATTCTCTGGCACTCATGACAAATATATTGTACACCAAAGTCACAATCCTTTGCCATTGAGTAACTTACATTTTAAAGAAAATATTTCAATGTACTTTATTTAATCTAACATTTCTAATTTAATGAACATAGAGTACTTCAGCAGATTCATTCATCATGAAATCACAGTGAGTTATTATGACATCTCTTCTATTAAAAAAACTCCCACCAATGAAAATTGTTCCAAACAAAACCAAATAAATCCATTGCAATCAGAAGCTGTGTTTTGTTCCTGAATGATTTAAGTTGTATAATCTTTATTTAACCAGTAAAGAACTGATATCAAACTGATATCTCACTGATATCAAAATCTATTTTATGGGAGTGTCCTGGCCAAGATAGGCAGCTGAGTTTACATAGACGGTTTATAAATCAAAGTTACGACACACATAAACAGAAATAACAGAAACATCATTACATAGACATAAACACATACAACTGGTTAAAAACATTTACACACCATTAAATTTCTCTGACAATTTCTAACTGACTACAAGACACCAAATTGTTCAGCTTCATCTCAGTCTGGAGAAGATTCCAAGGCTGCGGCATATTTAAAGTTTTACCCAGCTCGATTCTAGCAAAAGGCACACACAGATTGTGGATTGATACAGAACGTAATGAGTAATTACCAGGCAATTTCTGTTTACTAAGACAGCAAAGATAAGGAGGCAGATAACCCAATATAGCTTTGTAAATCAACAAATACCAGTGCATTTTTCTTCTAATATTCAACAAAGCCCAACTAACCATTTTTTATAGATCACAATGGTGTGTTGAAAATCTACAGTCAGTTATGAATCTCAGAGCACTATGGTACAAAGCATCCAGAGAGACAAGAAGATAAGACGGCGCATGCTGATACACTATACATCCCCATAGTCAAAAACTGGTAAAAAAAAAACAAAAAAAAGTAGCAGACACTGTATTCCTCGCATTAAAAAAAGAGCATGACTTGTCTCTAAAATAAAATCCAATTTTTTTCTTGAGTTTTTGTCTCAATTTTTTTATGTCGATAAAATACAGAGGTACTTCTACTCCGATACTAAATTAATCAACAGAGAGATTGCATATTCAGTAGAAATTTTAGAGTTAGAAAATAACATAAATTTAGTTTGTTTTTTCTCATTTAAAACCAGCTTCAAGGCACACAACCTATTTTGGATTATATCGAAAGCAGATTGTAAAAAAGCCTTGTTGCTTAGAGAAAGTTGAACAATATACTGTATAATAGTATCGTCTGCATAAAAATGAAACCTTGTATTATCAATATTAAAATCCAGACAATTTATGCTGAAATATGCTGAATAATAGTGGCCTTAGCACAGATCCTTGTGGGACCCCCAACATCCCATGGAACCGACTGAATACCTTCCGAACACATTGGGTTCTTCCGTTTAAATAAGAAGTGAACCAGATAACATTTTTTTGATAGTCCTACTGATCGAAGCCTTGTTAAAGGGTTAGTTCACCCAAAAATGAAAATTATGTCAGTATTTACTCACCCTCATGTCGTTCCAAACCTCTATGTGTTTATTTATTCTGCTGAACACAAAGGAAGATATTTGGAAGAACGTTTTAATCAAACAGATCTCATTCCCCAACCATAGTAGAATACATACTAGTCAATGGGGAATGAGATCTGTTTGATTAAAACATTCTTCCAAATATCTTCTTTTGTGTTCAGCAGAACAAATAAACACATAGAGGTTTGGAACAACATGAGGGTGAGTAAATACTGACAGAATTTTCATTTTTGGGTGAACTAACCCTTTAATATCAAGATCCACAGTGTCGAAAGCCTTTGATAAGTCAATAAAAAGACATGCACAGTGTTTCTTGTCATCTAAGGACTCCACTATGTTGTTTAAGATTTTTAAAACGTCTGTAGACGTACTGTGTCAATTGCTCACTACATTTTTCCAAGAGATTTGAGAGAATACAAAGTTTAGATATCAGTTTAGTTGTCCATTAAAGAAGGATCACCCCCTTTGGACAGAGGAACAACAAATGATGACTTCCAGATCCGTGGAATTTTGTAAGTTAATAAAGAAAGGTTAACCTGTCCACTGTCACAAATGTGAATTCATCGAAAAAATCTGAAATATCCCCTTGCCATATTCTGCTACAGTTAGTACCGATTCAGCCAGTTCTTTCTTTCTTTCTTTCTTTCTTTCTTTCTTTCTTTCTTTCTTTCTTTCTTTCCTTCCTTCCTTCCTTCCTTCCTTCCTTCCTTCCTTCCTCCCTCCCTCCCTCCCTCCCTTCCTTCCTCCCTCCCTTCCTTCCTCCCTCCCTCCCTCCCTCCCTCCCTTCCTTCCTTCCTTCCTTCCTTCCTTCCTTCAAGCAAGTCAAGCAAGTCAAGCAAGTAGTTTTAAAACTGGTGCTAGTGGTGGCTGTACTTGCTATTTAAATCTAGCTTGTTTGATGTTGTTTGACACTGCTAGTGACACTTTTGTCTGACCAATCAGTAGCCATGTTTCCATCCACTTGTCAATCGAATTATCTGAAATTCAGTTATAAAACTCATGCGGATAAAGCTGGTGAAAGTGTGTTTCCATCCAACGGCTTTAAAGCGAATAAAAACCTGTACGTAATGACGTCACATGCTGTTTTGCGATCAAATTGGTATATTGAATTGATTTGAGACATTTTAAGGTGTTTCCATTTATTTTCGCACTAAATCGAACAACATTCAAGCAAACTTTTGCGAACAAAGTTTGTATTCGCTAACAACCGCCTCGCTTATCCTGCTTATTACATATAAATCAACCAAATAAATCAATAAATCAATAATTTGACACAAAATATTGACTTAAAAACGAGTTTATTGATTTAAAAACGAGTATTGCTTCTGCTAAAGAAAATAGTCTGTTCCGTCTCTGAACTGCGTCCATAGCAACGTTGTGTTATACTAGCAGCGCCGCAGTCTGTTAACTAGAAATAACAGACCACATTATACATTAGAATTCAACCAAGCCACGTAAAAACAAGCAAAACTAACCTAAGAAAACAACGACGCTATAAACATTGCTATGATGATGACGATGCACGTATGCCCGACGACAGCGGAGGTGACTGTGGTGTGGGAACGAGCGCTCCATCAGTTCTGGGAGATCGTGGTTTACGGAAACCCTTTGGTTGAAGCATCTTTTTGCTTTGTCCACTTACATCTGTCTTTGTTGACATCATCCATGTGTGCGAAAAACAGACTGGCCGGAAATGAACTCGTCTTCTGACGTGTTGCAACCATAAAAGGGCATAAAACTTAATCGCAATTCATTATTTATTCGGCAAAAAACGTTTCCATCAGCTTTTATCGCATTAGCCGTATATCGATCAAGAGAAAATTCGACGAGACCGAACGTATTTCATTTGAGTCGATTTTCATGAAATTTCATCGAATTGTACTGTTTCCATAAGGCTTTTTTCATTCGATATCACATAATTCGGATAAAAACGTGTCGATGGAAACATGGCTAGTGATCTGTTTTTTTTTATTTTCCACTTGGAACCCCGACAGAGATGATACCATTTAGGGTGAGCCGAAGCGAGCCGTACCGTACCTCACCATGCAGTATAAAAGCACCACCACAAGTGAGCCGTACCGAGCAGAGTCGAGCCGTACCATACCATGCAGTGGAAAAGCGCCAATGAATTTGGCGAGTAGCATTTGCTACATTTCACTCCCCCGTACATGGGTATATGAGATGGTGGCATGCATCCACTCATTCGATTTTTGCTATAGCGCTGGATATCAACAAAAGGTGCATTCAGATGTGTTTCACCAGTGTGTGTGTGTACAGATAAGTACAGCAAATCCCCCTGTGAACACAGTCTGTTGCTCAGGCACCTCAGCCTTCTTAGGCTTTGGGTCAACTGGGAGAAGCTCTCCCCTGTGCAGAGCATCTCTTTTCTCGGTATGGAGTTAGACTCAGTCAATATGAACGAATGTGCATGCCTGAATATGTTCAGGGGGTAGACAGCGGTCCCATTGAAACAGGAAGTTTCAGAGGCTCCTGGGGAATATGACATCCACAGGCGTATGAACTCCACCACATGAGGCCACTATATAACCTCTTCAGCACTGGCTTCATTGTTTGGTCAGGAAGGCAAATGGGCAGGTCTTCATGGTTGTGCCTTAGTAGCCCACCCAGACCTGGTTATCTGACCTTATGCTGCTCATGACATCCCTCCCTGCTGGATTCCCCTGAGGAAGGACCTTCTTTCTCAGGGATGAGGTACAATATGGCACCTGCAGAGGA